TTAGATGCCACTGTAATGAGAAAATCCAATGTTATTCACTTTACCTGTCCATAGTCTTAATGTTATGGCTGATCAGTATATACATACACATATATATCTCCTTTGTGTATAGGGGTGCAGCACTGAGGTTCTTCATCAAAACTCACCCAGGACAATATCTGCATGGGGTTTGCATATTCTCCATTTGTTTTCACAAGTTTCCTACAGGTACTCCAGTTTTCTTCCACACTCCAGATACATGCTGGTACGTTAATTGGCTTCTATCTTATCTGTCCATTTATCTATTTGTCTACCTCCATCCTTCCATCTCTTTTTTTATCTTTCTATACATCGTTGTATTATTCTGCCTGCTGCTATTCATATAAGTCTGGAGGGTTACAATGCGTATTTTTGCATTTTGTAACTGCACCAAGCATAACACAGGAAGGATACAGAAATTTTCTTAGAACAGAAATGAAATATACAAATTGAGGAGGATGTCTTAGTGAGACTGGCAAATTCAAAGCTTTTTTTTGTTCATCCTGTGTCGGCAGGGAGACAGGTGCCTGCAGGCTGCGGCTGAGGATGTGGCTTTCATTGTACCTGTCAGTTTTCAGAAGACGGGCAGCTGCCTGAGCTATGCAAAACCAGCCGGGCTATCCTCAGCTGTATGTTGTGTGTAGTCATCGAGCCAAGGGCTGTGTTGGTGAATATCAGCTGATTTTACATTTACACTCCACCACATAAAGACTTGTGTTATAGATCACTTGTACTGTGATAATAAACTTAACGCTGCGGAGGAGGAAGCAGCTGCTGTACTTGACTCTCTAAGTGATAAAGGTGTAAAGCAGCCCATACAGCGATAGAATTTTGTTTGAACGTTCGTTTGGAAATTCTAGAAAATTGTTTTGTCAGAGCATTCGATCTTGTTATCATGGAATCAACCCATTTGTTCGAAAGCCCTTAACATTTAATCCAGGCCTGCTACTTGACTGGAATTCTGGCCATATGTGTCTAGATCATGCACATTACAATATGAAAGATTTTTCCCAAATGAAAACCACATTCAAGGAATTTCATTTGAGTAACTTTTCTATCTGGCTTCTTTGAATTTTCTCATCACTACAGTAAAAAAAATAATTGATTTGACCCCACTAACCGTTAGAAAATTGAACAGCTGTTCCAGAAATGAAATATTTTGAATAAAATTCTACTAATGTATGGCCAGCTTTAGTGTATTTTGTCTAAAGGACATCTGTACTGAGAAAAGATGCTGAGCAGAAGAATTACATTTAGCACAAGAGGTACTTTGCATATGCACTTTGAAACCTGGAGAGTCCTATAATGGAAAACAGCTTCATCTCATGAAGTCTATGCTTCACCATGCCCTTTCTATTCCTTGAGCCTTCCTGTTGGCCATTGAGTGTGATGAATAGCCTAACTAACCAGTCATAGGGGATGTTTGGCCAAGAGAATGAAGCCTTGAACTAGTAGATTTTCAAACCAACGTGCATATAAACATTGCTACAAAAATTCTTACTGTACATTTGATGACATGACAAATGTTCAAAAGTAGTTCAAAAAATTTATTGCTTTTAACATTTAATTTTGGAGTTTCCCGAACTGTTAGAAATTTGTTTGTTCATGAAAAGGTTTCTATTCTGTTCCTTCAAATGTTCTTATCACTGTGGCTCAAAACTAATGTTGATTTGTCGCAACTTATGACTAGAAAGTCAAAATTTTCGAACAAAGTTCCACTAATGTATGGCCATTGTTACTTCTGATTACCTCCCTCCTGCTTAGCCAGTACCATAGCGATGCTTGCATAGCCACCTGCAAAGGTAGGCTTTTAACCACTTTCCGTCCGCCTGCTGTTTATAAACGGCAGGACGGTGGCACTCCACCTTTTCTAGCTGTGCGCGCTCCCTGGGAGCGCGCAGCACTGCGATCCGGTGCCCGCTGTGTCCTCCGGACACAGTGAAACACCAATCGTCGGACGGGACCTCTGTACGAGGTCCCGATCATGTGATCACTGATTGGCAAATCAGTGATCACATGCAAAGTAGTAAGCAAGATGTCACTTGTGACATCATTGCTTACTACGAGTGAAATCTGTGAATGATCACAGAGGTCACATGGTACAAGGCTATTCACAAACAGCCTTGTACCATGTGACAAGCTGTGACCAATCACAGCTCTCACAGTATTTCTCAATGGCTGCAAGAATGCAGACAGAGAGAAAGAGAAATTATTGCTTTTACATCCTATATGGGTGTAAAAGCAATCACTGTAAAAAAAAAAAAAATCTTTATCACCCTCACAAGTAGTACAAGTACAAGTTGTACTGCTAGGGTGACAGTATGTAAAAAAAACAAAAAAAAAACCCATAAATAATAATATAAAAAAATTAAATAAAAATTAAAAAAAATGTTTAAAAATTATCATTTTTAGTTATAAACTAATTTGGCTTATTTTTTTTTACTAAAAATATAACGGAATACATTTTGGTCAAGATTTATGATGAAAGATAATTTATTTGCAAAATTGTATAAGAAAAAACACTTTTTAAAAAATTTTTGGACTTTTTTATTTACATAGCAAAAAAATTAAAATCCCAGTGGTGAAAAATACCACCAAAATAAAGCTTTATCTGTCTCAAAAAAATGGTAAAAAATTCATATAGGTACAGTGTTGCATGACCGCGCAATTGTCATTCAAAGTGTGATAGCGCTGAAAGCTGAAAATTGCCCTGGACAGGAAGGGGGTAAAAGTGTCCAGACAGGAAGTGGTTAAGTGACAGTACAGTGAGAGAGAGGTACCCTCTACCAGCACAAAGACCGGGATGTTACTGAGAGCCCCGGGTCCCGTTCTAATGATCGGGACCCGCAACTCCTGATTCCGGGTCATATGATCGCTGTGATAGCCTCTGATTGACTATCGCAGTGACCTGTCACTGTACAGCCCAGCCCCCTTGTTTTTCTTTCTCTCTATGAATGGAGGAAAGAGATACTTTGTATCTCTCTAACTCCTGGCATAGAGGGAAAAAATGAAAAAATGTTTGTTAAAAAAAAAAAAAAAAAAAAAGATAAATAAATATAAAAAAATAAAAGAAAAAATACCTAGATCAAGGTTTGATCTAGTTCAGTGCCAGGGTTAGTGTTTTGGGTCAGGGTCAAAGGTCAGGATTTTTTTCCTTTTTAAATTGGTATTAGTAGTCATTGTCAGTGTGTTTTAGTTAAAAAAAAAACAAAATGCGCACTATTGTTTGTGGGCTGTACTATGGGTACAAACAACAAATAACATACAAATTTAAGGTATCGTTGCGAACATCAAGAACTGGAAAATTTATTTTGGGCTGTTCTTTGGTGGTAGGTTATGGTAGTAACAAGAAATACACAGCTAAATGAAAAAAAAAAAATTTTTTCTTTTACTATTTTGGGCCAGTTTTCCTTTGATAATAACAAAAAATCAGGAGATATCCATTACCATATACCACCAAATGAAAACCCAATTTGTCCTGAAAAAAAACGCGGTATAATTCACCTGGATGTACAAAGTAATTGTGATGGTATGTACGGTTTTACTAACACATGTCAGCGTTGCACTGAAATGCACTGCACAGAATGCACTGAAAAATTGTGCTTAGGCATTAAGATTTGTTTTACCCTTAGGCGTGAAGAAGTTAAGGGCATTGTATTTGTGTTTGTGATCAAGGCATCCCACAGGAGCACCAAAAAAAAACAACAACTGAGGCCTATGTAAATGCATTGCAGTTTGAGACATTCAGCCAGTGTTGTCTTCTTCTTCAGACTCTTCTTGTTTTTGCATGCAATTTCTATTTATTCCTTTAGAGAGGCTACCCAGCATGAATCTGGGAGCAGAGCTTGTATGTGGGACCCAGCAGGTCTCATCCACTACAGGAGGGGGTAGATACAAGACCAGTCACCCTGCACAGCAGTGACCTGTCTTTATTAGGGCTCATGTACACGGGGTGTTTGGAAAACTCTTCTGACTGCTGGAAACTGACTGCTAGGAAATGTAGGTTAAAAAAGTCAGTTTAGCCGTGTTTACCTACCACGTTTATGCGTGTTTGCGTTTAGAAGCGTTTTTAAAAGATAACCTCAGATGACCTTCCCAAATGCCCAGAATGCACTGAAAAATAGTAAATTCACTAAAAAAGGCTACTAAAATATCACGAGTTATTTTATCAAGTCATTCAGTATTTTAGTAGTGAAAACCATGTGGTAATGTTTCAGCTGTCAGTGGGATTCCCCACTGACAGCTCAATGTAAAAGAAAGAATTGCTGACAATTAAAAAATAATTGTAAAAAAAAGGCATGGCGTCCCCCCTCCCATCCATACAAAGCCCTTCGGGTCTGGTATGGATTTTGTGGAAAAGCCCCACACCTAAATTTAAAAAAAAAATGTCGTGGGGGTCCCCCAAAATCCATAACAGACCCTTATCCGAGCATGTAGGCCGGCAGATCAGGAAAGGAGGGGAGGCAAGCGAGCCCCCTACCCGCAGACCCCCACAACCACAGCCCAGGGTTATGGGGAAGAGGCCCTTGTCCCCATCAACATGGGGATAAGGTGCTTTGGGGGGAGCCCCCCTACCCCAAAGCATTCCCCCCCATGTTGAGGGCACGTGGCCTGGTAAGGTTCAGAAGGGGGAAGGGGAGAGTGAGAGGAAAACATTAGGGAGAGTTCAGGGGCTGCTGAGAAAAACACAGAAAAACTCCTGAATGTCAGTTTATCAGCTGCAGTGTACATGAACCCTTACAGGAAGCTTCTGTACAGAGGTAAAGCTTCACGCTAGATTACTGCACAGATCTGGAAGAAATACCCTAAGCACACCAAGATTCAAGTAATACACATGCCTCTTATTCCAGACCTTTTAGTACATGTCTCTTATTGTTTCCTTTGTTTAGATAATACTTGCTTTTCTCAGAGTTTAGCTTTAAGCGAGAGCCATACATGCATTAACCTCCCTAACGGTATTCCCGAGTGTAGCTCGGGGTAAAATGTCAGTACCAAAAGCGGTAACCCCGAGCTACACTCGGGCTTACCATGCAGCGCTGCATAGGGAGTCCCTGCAGCACTTACCTTGTCCTTGGCTCCCGCGATGTGTCCCCTGCAGCGTCCCCGGCCATCTCCTCCGGCCGATGCCGGCATCCAGCTTCTGTGTTCCGGTCCCTGTGACCGTCGGGACGTACGGGCGGCGTCGGGAAATTTGAAAATTTAAAAAAAGTAATTTTTTTCAAAACTAATTTACATAGTAAAACATTGCTGTTTCAACCCATTTCACATACATTTTGTCCCTAGTGCTTTGTCCTGTGCCCTGTCTGCATTTTTACTGTTCTTTCTGCCTGGAAACTTAGAAAAGTCCATGGCGTCCAAAAAGTGTCCCTTTAGGTCAAAAGCGGGTTTAGACCACCTAGAGAACAGCGATAGTAAATCAGAACCACTTGCAGAATTGAATGATAATGATTCGTGGGGGAAATTCGTCATCAGACACTGAAAACGATTCTGCGAATTTGCTCAGCGATGTGCGAACTTGGCGCTATATTTCAAATTTCAGTGTTTTTGGTTTGATTATATTATTGAATTAAATGTATGATTTAGAATCTTGTTCAGACAGATTTCAGTGAGTTATTCCTAAAAATAAGGGGGGCAGCAGCAGCAGGACACCTAACCACCTTATGAATACATATGGTCAGTAAACTCTTTGTTTAATCCTTTTATGTACCCCACACCAACCAACCCTGAATAAAGGCATCTAAAGCAGTATCACGCTATGAGGTCTCTTATTGGGCACTTTGTGTGAGTGCTATCATTCGCAGTGCCCATCTGGAGGACTCAGGACCCTGGTGGTGATACCTGGTAGCGGTTTCGGATGACCTTACTTCCGTGGAGCCGGGATGGTGATCTGGGTACAATCTGATCTGGGATCTGATGATCGTTTCTTTGCCTGGTGACGCAGGATTACATATTGCGTGTATTAAACGCACATCTGGTGAGTGCGTTTTTCACCTATTTGTGTGATCACACCTATCATCACACCTTGGATCAAGACCTCCACTCACCTTGAATTAGGATCTTTTCATGATCCGCACTATTACATCGAACTTTTATATTCATTGATCACCCTTAGAGTGATATCACGCATGTATATATATTGTGTATATAAACTGTGCTCTAGTATTTAGCGCTGCACCATTTTATTTAACATATATGTCTGATTGGAGGTTTTATTTGGTTACCTTTTCGGTGTATCAGCTGCTCAGTAACATTCTCTGTGTATACGCATTTATACACTTTTTCTGTATACACATCTATACGTTTTTTTGCATTTAAGTTGCGCTCACTATAACATCTTATATTACAATTCCTAAAAATTACAGCCTACAATAAAAAAAAACTACATATTTTCCATGCAAAATAATGGTACCGCTTTCAGCACCAAAAATATGAAATAATCAGACCGGCAGGGAGGTTAATGCCACAGTAGGTGAAATGATACAGAAATGTGACATTTTCGTGTTAACTGCTGTGTTTTCATCTAGAGGAAGGCAGAAATATCTGTGTTTTATTAGTAGTTTGTGTTATTTTCTAATAAAAATAATAAATATCCTTCCTTTTTAAAAAAGATGAATGGCATGGTGTGCATGGGCATTTATATCTTCTTCTTATTCAGATTTTGTGCAGCTAGGGTATTGGTCACTTCCTTTTTCTCTGGGTGAGCAGACTTGCAGAACATCTTGTGCGTTGCGTAGTACTGTCTGAGCTACGGACAGCAGATAAGTCTTGCAAGAGATTCTCCTTTTGTAACCTATATTCATGTGACTGAATGTAATTGTTGGTGTTTTCCCAGTCTGAGGTTCAGACACAGCATCTTTCATGATGTGACTTCTGTTGAGTGCATCGTGGGAAATAGAAATAGAGGAAGAGAGTCGAATGCAGAACTCAGAACCGTCTCGTGGCAGGTTTTATCTCACTTGTTATCCATAGCTACAAACAGGAGTCAGAAGATATACAAATAAACAGAAGAAAGGCTTCTTGGTAAATGCCATCCATAGCTGCTCTAGTTGTGAATACAGTACTCCATTGGTTTTCAACATATCATATGGTCTGTACTGAGTTAGTAAAGCACAGGCATGGCGGTTCTGGCCAACATGTAAAGACTCATAGGAGTGACATCACTGGAGTATTATCAGGTCTAATCAATGATTGTCTTTGGCCATAGTAACGAAAATTGAAGGAACAGAATGGAAAATGTTTAGGGAACAAATGAAAATCAGTGAATGTGTTTTTTGTCCTGGGAATTCCATTTATTCAGAAATTTAATGTGGAAATGCAAATGTTTATGTGAAGTACTTTCACACAAATTGCATCAAGTCTCTGTTGGCATTATCAAATATATTGGCGAGATTTTTCATGTGAACGTTTGTATGAAAATTTACTAGTGTGCAGCCTTTGTTTAAAAGGAACATGTGCTTTGTTTAACAGGCTTTTTTTTTTTTTTTACGGTATATGCCCCCTTCCCCTTTGCTCATCCATTCCCATCCCCTGTTCACCTAGAGCAGGGGTCCCCAAAATGTTCAAAACAAACAACTAGATTATGGTCCTTCAGACTTTAGGTAGGCTGAAGTAGAAAATGTCCTAGTGTCAGTGAGAGTAGACAATGTCTCAGGCTTGGTGGTCAGTGGGAGTAAAATTACATAACATCTGTGGTAAGTAGGAGGTAGAATTGTGCCCCATCATTGGTGTTATTGGGAGAAATAATGCCCCATCGTTGGTGTCACTGGGAAGAATAGTCCCGCGCCATTGGTGTATGTGGGAGGAATAGTGCCCAAAAGGCCGGATAAAAGCAAGCAAAGGGCTGCAGTTTAACAATGACGGGTGCCTATTGTTGCACCCAGTGCTGTCCTGTCAGAGTATGGAGCCCTATGTGAACCTTGAACAGATTGACTTGAGACTTCAGCAAAGCTTTCTCCTCTCCATCATGCTTTTCTCTGCATGAACTAAGCATGGATAACTTCACATCCAGAGCTATACTACCCTTAGGTCAGGGCTTGACAAATTTGCTTTGAATCTAGAAGCTAGCTAAAAAGGTTAGGAGCCAGTTTTTTTGTTTTTTTTTTAGTGTAGCGTGGGTTGTCAGCGCCCAGGGCAAGGCAACTTTTAGGCGACATGCTTCACGCAATGCGATTTGCCGTACATCAATTATGGCAAAATTGCACCATATTTTAGGTGCCATTGAAAATAATGGCACCTGAACTTGTGTTTTGCAATAGCAGCGATTCTGCCATGATTCCCAGGTGTGAATGGAGCCATCCTTGTTCACACATATGTGATTTTGGATGCGTTTTCAAACTCAGATTCACATGACAGACTAGATATTATGTGTTCCTATTGAGGTCGTTCACACAGATGCAATCTACACACATTGCATTTTGAATGCCATTGCAAAAAGGCTCATGTGCAAGTTTGTAGAGTGATGCATTCCAGACTCTCAAGTGATAGAGTAAAGTGGCATGCGGAAATAAGTGTTCACATAGGATTGCTATTAACAGGAGTTTCTGAATTGAAGTCAATGGGACACATTATTGCATTAAAGTCAATGGGAGACATTATTGCATTGAAGTCAATGGGAGACATTATTGCATTGAAGTCAATGGGAGACCTTATTGCATTGAAGTCAACGAGAGGCGTTTTTGCATTGAAGTCAACGGGAGGGCGTTTTTGCATTGAAGTCAACGGGAGGCGTTTTTGCATTGAAGTCAACGGGAGGCGTTTTTGCATTGAAGTCAACGGGAGCATTGAAGTCAACGGGAGGCGTTTTTTGCATTGAAGTCAATAGGAGGTGTTTTTGCATTGAAGTCAATAAGAGATGATTTTGCATTGAAGTCTAAGGGGGGGGGGGGGGGGCAATTTTGCATTGAAATCAAAGGGCGGCGTTTTTGCATTGAAGTCAATGGGAGGCAGTCCTGGAGAAAGAAAGACAGATTCACACCAGTACTAAATCGCACAGAAAACGTAATGACATTGCGATTTCTGTACAAGTCTGTGTGAACCCAGGTGCCAGGACTCAATTTCTAGTCGCCCTGGTGCCTGGGATTTGTCGACCCTTGCCTTAGGTGAATGGCAAGTCACACTCCTTTTGTCACAAACTGTGTTATTGAGAGTATAAAAGATACATTCAAGTTGACATTTAAAATTAAAATGGGCCTAGCATCGGATATAAATTATCATATTAAGTCAGTGCATGCTGAGTAATGGTAAATGTAACACTTTCAAGTATTTATTACCTCTCACAAAGAACACAGTATTCCCCAGACTTCTTTGATTTTCTCTCCAAGAGGACAGCACCATCTTTGTTCAGCCCTCATCCAGGGGCAAAATCTATTTGGTGGCTTTAGATGCTGGCTCAGATACACTGCATTGCCAAACGTATTGGGACTCCTGCCTTTACACACACATGAACTTTAATGGCATCCCAGTCTTAGTCCATAGGGTTTAATACTGTTTTGGCCCACCCTTTGCAGCTATAACAGCTTCAACTCTTCTGGGAAGGCGGTCCACAAGGTTTAGGAGTGTGTCTATGGGAATGTTTGACCATTCTTCCAGAAGCACATTTGTGAGGTCAGGCACTGATGTCACACGAGAAGGTCTGGTTTGCAGTCTCCACTCTAATTCATCCCAAAGGTGTTCTATCAGGTTGAGGTCAGGACTCTGTGCAGGCCAGTCATGTTCCTCCACCCCAAACTCGCTCATCCATGTCTTTATGGACCTTGCTTTGTGCACTGGTGCTCAGTCATGTTGGAACAGGAAGGGGTTATCCCTAAACTGTTCCCACAAAGTTGGAAGCATAAAATTGTCCAAAATGTCTTAGTATGCTGAGGCCTTAAGAGTTCCCTTCACTGGAACGAAGCAGCCAAGCCCAACCCCTTAAAAACAATCCCACACCATAATCCCCCCTCCACCAAACTTGGCACAATGCAGTCAGGCAAGTACCGTTCTCCCAGCAACTGCCAAACCCAGACACGTCCATTTAATTGCCAGACAAAGAAACGTGATTCATCACTCCAGAGAACATGTCTCCTCTGCTCTAGAGTCCAGTGCATCCTATGCTTTGCATTGCACTTGGTGATGTAAGACTTGGATGCAGATGCTCGGCCATGGAAACCCATTCCATGAAGCTCTCTACACACTGTTGTTGTGCTAATCTGAAGGCCACACGGAGTTTGGAGGTCTTTAGCTATTGACTCTGCAGACAGTTGGCATCTTCTCCACACTGTGCACTTCAGCATGTGCTAACCCCCGCTCTGTCATTTTATGTGGCCTACCAATTGTGGCTGAGCTGCT